TCACACATGACTTCAGTAGTAGTAGCCCCAGCCAAAATCGACGGTGCATTGAAGACAATGAACGTCATCCCACTGGGTTGTTCTTTGATGGAGCCAAGCCACTGTGTGGCCTGTTCATACTCTGTGGCCGACTGGCACGTGATGACAGCGGGGCCGTCAAGTGTCGTCGTCCTGATGTTGGCGGCCTTGATGATCTTAGCCGTCCCCCACGGCTGAGAATGTACGACCAACTTTGTATCCTGCGGCTTCTCAGCAGCAGGTCCCCCATTGAGCCACGTCGATGCCGCCGTGGTTCTCGTGAGGAGGCCGCGCAGCTTGTCCTGCACCTGCTCCTCCGTGACCTTGATGTGGTTGACCCGCACGTACTTCAGGTACTCTCGTATCTTCTGAAGTGTCGGCGGTACTTGTGTGTTCTTGGGCGTGCGTTTCTTTGGCGGCTTCCCCACAGCCACCTGAGACTCCACTCCCATCTTCTCAGTCAACTTGTTCAAAACTGTGGTGATCTGGGTCACCTGGTTGGCAAGATCTGCAACTTCGCGACGCCCCTTCGTCGCTTTGGCAGCACTCTTCCCTCCACGTTTGTTGACTCCTCCTCCAAATAGTGGGTCGTCGGAGAAGTCCTCATCTTCAAGTCCGTTTCGCTGAACATCTGGTTCAGCAGTACACACTACCCTGCCGCAAGGGTCAAGTAGTGTGACTTCTTCCCAAGAAATCTGCTGTTCGTCACCGTGACTGCGGGGTGCAGTCTTCGCCTCGGACAAGGGGTCCGACCCGACGGTCCCGAGCACGATGTGCAGGAGGGTGGTGACAATACCGTCGACGTTCGCATGCGCCTGCCCTTCCAAGTACAGCGTTTCGTGGCCCCATCGGGAGCTCCACCGAAGGCCACAGTGGCGACGTTTGCATGTTTGCATGAGTTCGCCGCACCCTGTACAGCGTTCCGTGGACCCACATGGAGCTCCACCGAAGGCTACAATAGCGTTTCGTGGCCCCATAGGGAGCTTGACCCACGGCCCCAGTGGCGAAGTTCGCCTGCGCCCGCCCCGCCCAGTACACCGCATCGGGGCCCCATATGGAATCCCACCGAAGGCCACAGTGGCGACGTTCGCATGCGTCCGCCCTTCCTGGTACACTGCGTCGTGGCCCCATAGGGAGCTCCACCGACGGCCGCAATGGCGACGTTCACATGCGTCCGCCCCGTCCATTACAGCGTTTCGTGGCTGCATAGGGAGCTCCCCCGAACGCCCCAGAGGCGACGTTCGCATGCGCCCGCCCCATCCAGTGCAGCGTTCCGTGGCCCCATATGAAATCCCACCGGAGGCCCCAGTGGCGACGTTCGCATGTGCCCGCCCCATCCAGTGCAGCGTTCCGCGGCCCAAGTGGAAATCCCACCAGAGGCCCCAGTTGCGACGATCGCATGCATCCACCCCGCACAGTATAGCGATTTGTGGCCCCATACGGAACTCCACCGAAGGCCTCATTTGCGACGTTTTCATGCGTCCGCCCCGCCCAGTACAGCGCTTCGTGGCCCCATATGGAGCTCCACCGAAGGCTCCAGTTGCAACGGCCCCAGTAGCGACGTTTGCATGCGTCCGCCCCGCTTTGTACAGCCTGTCGTGGGCCCATAAGGTGGCTCAACCGAAGGTCACGGTTGCGGCGATCGGCATGCGTCCTTCTCGCCCAGTACAGCGTTTCGTGGCCCCATAGGGAACTCCACCGACGGGCCCAGTGGCGACGTTCGTATGCGTCCGCCCCGCCCAGTACACCGCATCGTGGCCTCAAATGGGATCCCACCGAAGGCCACAGTGGCGACGTTCGCACGCGCCCACCCCACACAGTATAGCGTTTCGTGGCCACATACGGAACTCCACCGAAGGCCCCAGTTGCGTCGTTTTCATGCGGCCGCCGCGCCCAGTACAGCGCTTCGTGGCCCCATACGGAACTCCACCGAAGGTCCCAGTGGCGACGATCGCATGCGTCCGCCCCGCCCCGTGCAGCGTTTGGTGGGCCCATAAGAGGGCCCAACCGAAGGTCACGGTTGCGGCGATCGCATGCGTCGGCTACACCGTGGCCCGTTAGGGAGCCCCACCGAAGGCCCCAGTGGCGACGTTCGCATGCGTCCTTCTCGCCCAGTGCAGCGTTTCGTGGTCCCATAGGGAGCTCCAACGACGGGCCCACTGGCGACGTTCGCATGCGTCCGCCCCGGCCAGTACACCGCGTCGTGGCCCCATGTGGAATCCCACCGAAGGCCACAGTGGCGACGTTCGCACGCGCCCAGCCCACACAGTATAGCGTTTCGTGGCCCCCTTTCGGAACTACACCGAAGGCCCCAGTTGCGATGTTTTCATGCGTCCGCCGCACACAGTACAGCGTTTCGTGGCCCCATCGGAAGCTCAGCCGAAAGCCCTAGTGGCGACGTGCGTCCGCTACACGGTGTACAGCGCTTCGTGGCCCGTTAGGGAGCCCCACCGAAGGCCCCAGTGGGGACGTTCACATGCGCCTCCCCGCGCCCATTTCGGCACACTACTCACGCGTTTCGCGGCTTCAGACGGGGCTCCACCGACGGCCCCAGTGGCGACGGACATTCGCATGCGTGCCCCTCAATCATGTCTGCAAAACCCTCACGCGTTTCGTGGCCCCATAGAGCTCCACCGAAGGCCCCAATGGCGACATTGGCATGTGCCCCCCCGCCAATATCGGCACACCCTCACACGTTTCGTGGCCCCATAAAGGGCGCCACCGAAGTCCTCAGTGGCGACGTTCGCATGGCGGCCCTGCTCAATGTCGGCACACCCTTCACACGTCTCGTGGCCACAGAAAAAGGGGGGGTTATACCTAAGGCCCCGCAGCGCTCGCATGGTGGCCCCGCTCTATTTCGGCACACCTTTCGATGCTTCGTGGTCCCATTAGGAGATCCACCGAAGGCGATACACACAACACCGAGACTCACAATTGCATACAGTGGAGGCCCATGCCAAGAAACACCCAGCTTGCCTCCAATGTGCCCTGGGTTTCCTGGTGTTCGATGGTTTTGTTATGGAAAGCGTGACGTTCCCACGCCAAAAATCAATGGACGTCCTGGGGTTCCAGGTTTGGGTTTCTTGTGGAAGATTTCTTGTGGTCGGGCTCCCACTGTATGATTGGGTCCTTCGCCACGATAATTATTCCCAACCATCATGTGGTGTTGGGTCCTCGTTTTGAAGAGACGGTGCCCCGCGTTCCTCTCCTCTCCTCCTCCTCCCCTCCTCCCCCTACCGTCCGCATGCGTCCCCCCACCCACTACAGCGTTTCGTGGCCCCATAGGGAGCTCCACCGGAGGTTCCAGGTCTACAGTCCGCACTCGCCCCCCCCACTCATTGCAGCGTTTCGTGGCCCTCCTCCCCCACCTCCTTGCGTTTCCCCCACCCATTGCAGCGTTTCGTGGCTCCATAGGAAGCCCCCCCCACCGAAGGTCCCATGTCTACCGTACGCATGCGTCCCGCACATCCAGTACAGCGTTTCGTGGCTCTCCCCCCCCTCCTCTCTGCGTTTCGCCCACCCAGTACAGCGTTTCGTGACTCCATGCGGAGCTCCACCGAAGGTTCCAGGTCTACCGTCCGCATGCGCCCCGCACACCCAGTACAGCGTATCGTGGCTTTTCTCCTCCTCCTCCGTGCGTTTCACCCACCCAGCACAGCGTTTCGGAGCCCCATAGGGAGCTCCACCGAAGGTTCCAGGTCTACCGTCCGCATGCGTCCCCCCGCCCAGTACAGCGTTTCTTTCGTGGCCCTCCTCCCCCTCCTTCCTTTTGTTTCACCCACCCAGTGCAGCGTTTCGTGGCCCCATTGGGAGCTCCACCGAAGGTTCCAGGTCTACCGTCCGCATGCGTCCCGTACACCCAGTACAGCGCTTCTTGGCTCCGTGGGGAGCTCCACCGAAGGTTCCAGGTCTACCGTCCGCATGCATCCCGCAAACCCAGTACACTGTTTCGTGGCTCCATAGGGAGCTCCACCGAAGCCCCCACTGGGACCGTCCGCGTGCGTCCCCAAACATCAGATTTGGCATTTCCACGCACCCAGTACAGCGTTTCGTGGCCTCACGGGGAACTCCGCCGAAGGCCCCAGAGCCACCGTTCGCATGCGCCCCGAAAACCCAACGTGGTTTTCTCACCCACCCAGTACAGCGTTTTGTGGCCCCACATGGGGGCTCCACCGAAGGCTCCAGTGGGACCGTCCGCAAGCGTGCCGAAACACCCAATGTGGTATTTTCGCCCACCCAGTACAGCGCTTCGTGGCCCCATATGGGGGCCCCACTGGAGCCACCAGTGGGACCGTCCGCATGCGTCCCAGAAGCCCAATTTGGCATTTTCACCCACCCAGTACAGCGTTTCGTGGCCCCATAGGGAGCTCAACCGAAGCCCCCAGTGAGACCGTCCGTGGGCGTCCTGGAAACCCAATGTGGCACACCACCCATCCAGTACAGCGTTCCCCCCCACCCAGTGCAACGCTTCGTGGCCCCATAGGGAGCCTCACCGAAGAAGGTATTCACAATTTTGCGGTACCCGTAGCTGAATATGGTTGGGTCCTTCGCCTGGATCATTGTTTTTCTCCCTTTCTCTCGTCCTCCCCCTTGTCCATCTCGCGTTCCTCCCTCTGCCTCCTCCTCCTTCTCTGGTCCCTCCTCCTTCTGCCTCCTCCTTCTGCGTCTTCCTCCTCCTCCTCCTTCTCCTGCTCCTCCTCCGCCTCCTCCCCCTCCTCCTCCTCCTCCTCCTCCTCCTCCTCCTCCTCCCCTCCTCCTCCTTGTCCTCCTCCTCCTTCTCCTCCCTCCTCCTCCTCCGCCTCCTCCTCCTCTCTCTTCTCCCCCTTCCCTTCCTTCTCTCCTTCTCCCTCCCTCCTCCTTGCTCCCTCCCCCCTGCCCACTCCTGCTCTCCCCCCCCCCTCCTCCCCAGGCTCCTGGCCCCGGCAACCCCCCCCCCCCTGTGGCGGCTGCCTCCGACGCCCCGGCCGCTCGGCCCGCCGCAGGTCGCGGGCCCCGCGGGCGTGGCGGGCAACCTCCACCTGAGGGCGAGGAAGGACGCGGCAGCCTCGGCGCGTGGGCCTGGGGAGGCCCGCGGAGGGCCCGGAGCTCCTTCCGGCGGTTCGGAGACAAAGTAAAATATACCTGGGGTTATCGCCAGAACATCAGCTCCTGCACGTGGCCGACGCGCGACGGAAGGGCCCGAGGGGGGGCCGAAGGAGAACGAGGGACGGGCCCCAGGACCCACAGACAAACGAGCGGAGGGGCCCGACCGACAACAAACAGGACCGAAACCACGAGGGCCGCGATCACTGTGACAGAAATCTACCTGCTACCGACGGCGCGGGGCATCACGAACAGACCTCTTTGCCGATAAAGGGATGGGGCCCAGAGGACGAGATGCCCGCAACAGTGTAAATAGACCCACCCTTGGGCCCCGTCCTGTCCTCAGGGCCCCATCCCTCAGGACCGATCCTTAGGGCGAGGGGTCTCGAGCTTGCCTCGCCCTCGACGACGACGATGACGATGACGATGACGATGACAGAATTTATGCGTCTCGCAAGGATGAGGCATGCAGGAACTATCATTTACAGTTATCCCAGATAGCCTCGGACCCCAAGGGTCACAAGTTCCTTGCTGGCCGCCAAAAACAGAGTCAGAATTTTGTGATGATGTGTTCTGGCTGCGGCAAGTAGCGAATCGAATGTGCGCGAGTTCAAAGAGAGCTGCCACAGTTTCAAGAGAGCAGTGGACAAGACGCAGTGGAACCTTCTCTGCGCGGGGAAACACCCGAAGTCGTCGTTCCGCTCCCCCTCTCTGTTCCTGAACCGCCCTCTTAGGCTTCAGGATTTTCTTGCCGCGAAAGTAGCCATGATCACAAAAACCCAGTCCCAACTGAGAGATGCACGGCCTGAGCGGAGCTAACCTGCTGCGCTCTCCAACCACGTGCTGATCCTCTTTCTCCTCCTCCTCCTCCTCCTCCTCCTTCTCCCCCTCCCCTTCCCCCTTCCCCCTTCCCCTTCCCCCTCCTCCTCCTCCTGCTCCTCCTCCTCTTTTCCTCCTCCTCTTCCTCCTCATCCTTGTCCTCCTCCTCCTCTTTGCACTCCTCGTCCTGCTCCTCCTCCTCCTCCTCCTCCTTCTCCTCCTCCCCCCCCTCCCAGGCGCATCAGGCGCAGGGCGCGTAAGTTCTGGCCTCGAGAGCGGCAGACGGCATGTCAGGGCCAGCACAAAAAGAGTCCACAAGTCGGGCCTCCACAAGATCACGGGCCTCCGGCGGGGATGTCCTGGCGGCGCCCCAAACTGGGTGGCGCGAGGGGGGGGGCCTCTGAGAGGCCAGAGGGGGCTCCCGAGCAGGCAGGGGCCTCTTCAGAAGGGCCTGGCAGGCAGGCAGGGGCCAGAAGGGCTCCCGAGCAGGCAGGGGCGGCTTTTGAGCAGGTTTCTAGACGCCGCCGGGCCCTGCTAAAGGGTACCCCCCCTCGCGCCACCCCGTTGGCGTCGCCGCCCTGTGTCTGTGGTCGGTGGCGGCGTCCCAAGTATATGTGTGTATGTGTGTATGTGTGAATGTGTGTATGTGTGTATGTATGTATGTATGTATGTATGTATGTATGTATGTACGTACGTACGTACGTACGTATGTATGTATGTATGTATGTATGTATGTAGGTATGTATGTAGGTAGGTAGGTAGGTAGGTAGGTATGTATGTATGTATGTATGTATGTATGTATGTGTGTATATCTGCCTGTCTGTATGTATGTGTGTGTATGTATGTATGTATGTCTGTATGTATGTGTGTATGTGTGCATGTGTGTATGTGTGTATGTGTGTGTATGTATGTATGTATGCATGCATGCATGCATGCGTGTATGTATGTATGTATGTATGTGTGTGTATGTATGTATGCATGTATATATATATGTTTGTATGTTTGTGTGTATGTATGTATGCATGCATGCATGTATGTATGTATGTATGTATGTATGTATGCATGTACGTATGCATGTATGTATGTGTGTGTGTATGTATGTATGTATGTATGTATGTATGTATGCATGCATGTATGTATGTATGTATGTATGTATGTATGTATGTATGTATGTATAAGTGTATGTATGTATGCATGTATGCATGCATGCATGTATGTATGCATGTATGTATGTATGTATGTATGCATGCATGCATGCATGCATGTATGTATGTCTGTATGTATGTATGTATGTATGTGTGTGTATGTATGTATGTATGCACGTATGTAAGTATGTAGGTTTTCATGCATATATGTATGTATGCATGCATGCATGCATGCATGCATGCATGCATGCATGTATGTATGTATGTCTACATGTATGAATTTATGCATGCATTTATTTGTGTAAATTGATACCAGCTCCGCCTTCCGCTTCAGACCCTTCCCCTCCACCTTCTCCTCCTCCTCCTTCTTCTTCTCCTACTCATCATCAGTATCAGCATCAGTATCATCATCATCTTCACCACTACCACCATCATCACCAGCATCATCATCATCAGCAAGAGCAGCAGCATCATCATCACAACCAGCAGCATCAGCAACATCATCATCATCATCATCATCATCATCAGCATCGTCATTATCACCATCTGTTGATTCATCATCGTCGTCATGATTACCTTCATCATCATCATCATCATCATGATCACCATCAGCATTATCATCATCATCGCCATCATCAGCATCAGCATCAGCATCAGCATCAGCATCAGCATCAGCATCAGCATCAGCATCAGCATCAGCATCAGCATCATCATCATCATCATCAGCATCATCATCATCACCATCATCATCATCACCATCATCATCATCATCATCATCATCATCATCATCATCATCATCATCATCATCACAATTATCATTATCATCATCAGCAGCATCATCATCCCCCTGTCTTCTCCCAGCCCACCTCCTGCCCCTTCCCTTTCTGCTCTCCCTACCGCCATCCTCTCATCTTCTTCCTCCTCTTCCTCCTTCCTCTCAATGCTATCCTCCTCCTCCCCCTTCTCCTCCTTCTCCTCCTGGCTATCTTCCTCCTCCTACTCTTCCTTCTCCTCCTCCTCCTCCTCCTCCTCCTCCTGGTCCGCCCTCCCCCCCCCCCGCGCCGTCCCCCGGTGCTGAGGCCGAGGCGGACTCGCGCTGGATCGTGGACCGCCGCCTCCACCTCTCCCGGAGCCTGCAGGCGGGCGCTTCGGGGGGGGGGGGCTCTCGGCCCGGGCGCTCGCTCCGTCCTCCTCGTCCTCGTCGTCGGGGGCCGCAGGAGGAGGAGGAGGAGGAGGAACACCGACCCTGCCGCCGCTGCCGCCTCTGCATGTGTTGACCTCTTTTGCGGTCTATCATGACAGGGGGGAGCTGCTGGACACCGAACTTTCGGCCGATCTCGGGCCATTCGGCCCTCTCCTGGACACGGCGTGTGCTGGGGCAGGAGCGGGGTGCATCCAGCGTGGCGCGGCGGGAGCCGGTGGGGCTTCGTCGTCGTCGCGGAGCGTGGGCGGGAAAGCACTGCATGGTGCGCGCACCCTCCTGTACGGTAGGTTTGCGTCGTGTCGACCGGCGGCGACCCCAGCGCGGGCGTTCAAGGTTGAACGCCGCCGGCGACCCAGAATCGATCGATGTTGAACGATTGGACGTTGCGGCAGCGGCCAATCGTTCAAGGTTGAACGATCCCCGCGGTGTCAGAAACCAACGCCGAAGTCGGCACGACACGGACCTGCCGTACCCTGGTTGTACGAGTCTCACGGTTTGTAGTCGTTGCGGGTGCTATGCCAGCATGTCTGCTGACAGCCTGGCCCCTGGCTAATGACTGTCTCCAGCTGTGGGGCGGCCCCGAACGACCGAAGGCAAGCATCACAGGGATGCCCAAGAAAGCTCGTGAGGCGCTGCATCGCAGGGATGCGCGGCGCGGCATTTCCGGGGCCAGTAGCAGGGTAGCATAGTCATGGGTGCTCTCGTACATTGATGCGTCACAGGTCTTCCTTCCAGGTGATTCTCCGCCTCCTCCTTCCTGCTGCTCACGCAACTTGGGCTCGAGCATGTTGGTGAGTCCTGCCTGTGGATGTCCACGTGGCGCTTGAAGGGTTTTGTCGCTCACCAGAGCTAGCATTGAAGTACTGTTGACTAGCACAGAGGCTATGGCAGGTGCCCGGAACTTGCGGATCAGGCGTGCGCAGTGCAAAGCGGTGCGCAGGTGGAGTTCTACCCGGGCAAACCTCGTCGAGTTCGTTTCTCTCGCTGCCAGTCGGCGATGGGCGAGAGGCGCTCCTACGACGCGACCAGTGAGAGTGAAGGTGAAGGCAGTTCTGGCCGCCAGCCGCCTCCCCCAGACATCCCGAAGAAGGGGGGCGCCGGCGGCGGCGAGGGCGTCAGGGGGTCCTCGGTCGAGGGGCTCCTGCGGCAGGCCATGTCGGCTGTGAAGGACAGACCTCACTTGCAGGTGGACTTCCGAACCCAGCAGTCCAAATTCAAATTCGAGACGGAGGAGAGCTGCGAGGAGATGCGCCTCCCGCCGTCGGAGGCGCACTGTTGGAGCAATTCCGCGAGCAGGCGGTCGCCCGCGCCGCCCGCCTCTGCAGCAACGTGGCGGCTGCGGGGGCGAAGGGGCAGGCGGCGGCGTGCGCCTTGGCGGAGGCGGCCGAGGCCAAGAAGGTCGCCGCCGCGGCCTCCGCGAGGGCGGAGCGCGCGGGCCGACCCGACGGCCCAGGCCCAGTTGGGGAGCGCGAGAAGAAGCTGACCAACGTGGAGTGGGAGGAGGAGTTCTTCTCCAACCTCGAGAAATTCGAGGCAACGGGTGACTGGAAGAAGGCGCTCGAGGAACCCAAGTGCAAATGCAGCAGGTGGATGATCACGCGTCGGGCAAGGATGCCGAGACCCAGGCCTGGCTCGGCAAGGTGCAAGGGCACCGGCGCAATCTCGGAGATCATGGCCAGGGAGAGGCGCGGCGCCGATTTGGCTGAGGCGATGCGGGGTGGGGGGGCAGCAGCCGGCGACCTTGCGGCTGCAGGTGCGCCCCCGCCCGCGGCCGCATGGGCCCGCGCCCCTGGGAGCGGCCGCGCGCCGCCGCCGCCGTCGGACCCTGCCCGCGAGGCCAGTCTGATGGCAGAAGCGGCGCGCCGATCGGAGGCGAAGTGCAAGGCGGCTGAGCTTGAGAGCAAGGCCAGCGGCAAGGTCTCGGCGGCAATGACATCCGCCGCCGGTGCCGCCTCGAGCCCCAAGCGAGGTTCAATAACAGAGGCCCTCGGACCTTGGCCGAGGGGGGCAAGACAGAGAGGCGGATCTTCTATGCCGCCGTGACTGGCTGGACGGACAAAGCGTGGAAATTCACCATGGCCAAGCCAACGTCTTTGGACGACCAGGCGATGGTGGAACCCCGCGTTCATGTGAAGTCCGACTTTACGAGGCTGGCCAAGGGAGCGAAGAAGGTGAATCTCCACGTGGCTTTCAAGTCAGCCCTCCACGCCGCGCGCCCAGTCCCCGTCTCCAAGTGGGCCAATGCTAGCGAGGGCGGGGAGGTCAGCCAGAGGCAGCTGCAGTGCCGCGCGATGGGAGAAGCTCGCGCAACGGCGAGGCATCGGAGGGCCCCCAACTCGAGATCGCTGGACGGCTTCCTGCCTCTCCTGCCCCAGCAGCAGAGCTACGCCGACGCGGTGGCGGTGGCGTCGCATGCGTCCCTTTGAATTGGAAGGACAGGCCGCGTCTTCGACCGATTTCGACGGTCTCGCGGGTTCCTGCGCCCAATGCGGATGCCACGGGGGCGCGCGTGGGACTCCAACGTGCCTCCAGCGACATCCCCTACGTCTGTTGCAGATAAACAGACACGAGCCCCCAAAGAGCCCAATCCAGGCCCATAGATAACCCCGAGGGTGCCTTCACGACAAATGAGAATAGCGGTTTCGCCCTGTCCATCACCGCCAACCTGCGAATCCACCGGCATCGCCGCATGGAACGACATGCGGTCCCCGAATGGGAACGTGAGGAGCCGTTCCACAGGAGCACGCCAGACCACGGCAACATGGCCGACCAGCGCGGCAGACCGCAGCATCCAGGATAACGCGATTTGGTGGGATCATATGGCTTGGCCAGACCCAGAGCGTCCCAGGACGAGTCGGGGGAGCTCCGCCAAGATGTACCAGGAGCTTGACGCTCGCGAAGGAGGCCGAGGTAATGGCGACCGAGAGCTACAAGTGCGCGATGATCTTCTGAGACGACTCTAATTGGTTGCTTGATTTCGATTTGGACAGGCTGCTGAGTAACGGGCAGCTTAGGCTCGACGGGGCCGCCAGACGCGCGTTCGGGCAGAAGTGCGGCAGGCGCAAAAGGTTCCAATTCTGCGACTACGTGGTTATCGCCGAGCGCGAGGTCGCCGTACCGTTCGGTTGCTTCTACCAGCTGATGACGGATCCCACCAGCACAGGCGTCTCCCTGGTCCCCAACAGTGTCAAACATGACGAGGGATACTCGTACCAGATGGCGCAGGCTTTCAACGTTCGGTTCGAGCAAGTTCCCACCGCCCTGATCCCCTTCGAGCGGAGCGGCCGACTGAACATCTCGGGCTTGAACGTCCTCTGCCGACATAAGATCACCGACGAAACCTTAGACGGCGTGCCCGCGCTCGGCGTCCGCGCCAGGATCCCAGGCGCGTGTAAGGATCTGGCAAGGATCCTGCGGCAGAGCAATAACTACGGCCAGCAGTGACACCATGATGCCGCTTGAAACTTCAGCGCCGAGCTGCATCTGCCCGTGCTCTGCCAACTTGGCACTGCGGGGGTCCTTCCTCCGTGCCCCCGCCTCCGTAAGGGATTTCGCGCACCGCAGCGATGGCCAGCACGACCAGGCTTTGGCCCTGACTCCACACGTTGCGGCTGATGCGAGTGCCTTCGCGCTGCTGCCCGCTTCTCCAAGACTTTCTGGTTGGTGGCTGCAACGAATGCGGCCGACGGTCAAAGCGGAATGGATTGCTTGGGGCATCTGTTCAAGACACTCAGAGGTCTGGGCCCGTTCCTTTCGGACCACTCTTGGGGGTACTACGGCCTTGGCCGCGACCCACGGAGGTCCCAACATGCCTTGAGATCCTACGTTGCGAGAAAATTATCGCATCGTTAACAATCACGTCCTGAGCCCTAGACAATACAGTTGGACCGAGGTATAAGATCGAGGTAGGTTCGGGGAGGGCGCCCGCATTTAGTTCGTGCTTGTTGGATGTTCTTGTGCACCCTGGGGAGGGCAATTACCCTTGGACGTTCTGTGCGATTTGGCCGTCGGAGGGTCTCGTGTTCTTGAGGGATGTTCTTCCGGCCGAGGTCCGACCGCATTTCTGCTTTTCTCGAACGGGGGTGATCCGTGAAGGCCTTCGGACCCTGGGCCAGGGAAGATCTGCAGGGATAATCAAACACTGCAGCGCCTGGATCTCAGGGTATGAAGCCTAAATCCTCGAGTTTGGATTCCCGATCCTCGACCTTCGCCCCACCCCCCATCCCCCCCAAGGTTCGCGAGGGCCTGTCGCTGAGCGCTGCCGCGCAGGTCCTGGGCGCGCCCGAGGCGGCAGTGCCCTTGGAGATCAAGGCTCGCGGGCAGCGACGACGACGCGACGACGAAACAACGACGTCGTTGGCATCGTTTCGGAGGTTCCCAAGCCCAGCTACTACTACAACAACAAGAACTATTCTAAATACTGCTACTACTACTACTACTACTACTACTACTACTACTACTACTGCAACTACTCAACAGCTGCTACTTCTACTGTCGTAAGGGTTATAGCAACTGCAGCACGATTATCACCATCACCACCACAACCACGACTGCTATTATTATTAGTATTGCTACTACAGGTATTATTCTTACTGCTACTACTGCTTCTACTAGTAGTACTACCACGACTGCGGCTACTACTATTACTGTTACTGGTACTGCTACTCCTATTACCACTACCACTATTATCATTTGTACATGTAATACCCAATCTGTTAGCACTACTACTACCACTGCTACCACCACTGGTATTATTATCATTATTACTACTACTACTACCTTTACTACTGCTCTTCTATTACGATCACCACTACTACTACTACTACTACTACTACTACTACTATTGCTACTACTACCACCTGCACTACGACTACTACTACTACTACAACTACTACTACTACTACTACGACGACTACGACTATAACTGCTACTACTACTATGACTACCACGGCTACAACGACTACTGCTACCACTGCTACTACTACTACTACTACTACTTTCACGACGACTACTCGTATTACCGCGACTGCCACGGTTACTACAGCTGCCTCAGTTACCACTACTACTACTACTACTACTACTACTACTGCTGCTTCTACTGGTAATAGTAGTAGTAGTAGTAGTAGTAGTAGTAGTCGTAGTAGTAGTAGTAGGAGTAGGAGTAGTAGTCGCAGTAGTCGTAGTAATATTAGTAGTAGTAGTAATAGTAGTAGACGTAGTAGTCGTAGTAGTAGTAGCAGCCGCAGTAGTAGTAGTAGTAGTAGTAGTAGTAGTAGTAGTAGTAGTAGTAGTAGTAGTAGTAGTAGTAGTGTAGTAGTCGTAGTAGTCGTAGTAGTAGTAGTAGTAGTAGTAGTAGTAGTAGTAGTAGTAGTAGTGGTAGTAGTAGTTAGTAGTAGTAGTAGTAGTAGTAGTAGTAGTAGTAGTAGTAGTAGTAGTAGTTGTAGTAGAGGTAGTAGTAGTAGTAGTAGTAGTAGTAGTAGTAATAATAGTAGTAGTAGTAGCAG